GGCGAGGTGCGGGAGGGGTGTGGGGTTTTTGAGCTGAGTGTTTAGGGTTTAGGATTTAAGGTTTAGGGATGTTTAGGGCCAGGTTTGCGGTTTGGGGTTTAGGTTTCAGGTTTGAATTTAGGGTGTAGGGTTTTAGGGTAATGAAGGCTTAAGGCCACTGCCGGACGAGGAGTCCGCTTTGTCAGCCTTCATCTACATTCTAGATCTCGTGGGTTCGAGCTGATCCCCCTCATCTGCAAGAGCTGGTTTGCTTGCTTGGAGCAACGGCTTGGAGAGATATGTGTGCGACAGGAGCGCTGTCTGTCAGCTTGCCCAGGCTGGCCGTGCGATGAACAAGTTGGCATCGACAGTCCCGTCCCCAGTCCCCTAAACCCTAAACCCCTAAACCCTAAACCCTAAATCCTGAAGAAACCCTCGCTGCAGCTACTGGATTGGTAGGTCCCGGTCGGCACTTGGACAAGCTATCTCCTTTGTGCTGTCGTTGTTTGGTGCAGCTGGCTCACTGCACCTGTGACCTTTGGCTTTGCAAACATAATACCCTACTGGTACGATACAAAGTAACATAGTATAATGTAGTATAATGCAAAACACAACAATACAGCAATGTAAAAGCCTGTAACATGACGTAGTGTGACATATTTTTTTGCAGAATACGTGAAACGGAATATACGATAGTCAATCATAGTATAGAATTACGTTCTAGAGTATAGTAAAGTACAATGCACTGTAATATCAGGTCATACAATATAGTATAGTATAGTATAATATAATATAACATAAAATAGTACAGTGAATTAAAGCTAAAAGTATAGTGTAGTCTAGTATTATGACGAATATGTAGCATAACATGGTAGTAGCCATATTAGTTTTATACAATATCGTATAATGCATCACAATATAATACATTATGCTGAAATATGATATGAAATGCTATGATATGTTATGGTATGCTACAGTTACATAGAATCAAACATGATAACGTTTAGTATAATGTAATGTAATATCCGATCCACCATGGGCGTCTTGCGTGCAATTTTGGATTTTTTGGACCGTAATGAGTACCGCAGCTACCAACAACACATAGGCTTGGTCACTACATCTACATTTCACGTGATGATGATGGTGATGATGCTGGCTCCCTTGGCACAGAGGATGTTGAGCATGTTGCTGATTGTGTTAATGAGCATAGCTTAGCTCAGACTGCATGTGACTGCAGTGACGATCGTCGTCGTCATTACTTTTCTTGCTTTGCTGTGGCTTTGCGTTTGTTGCAGTTGTTGCTGCTACTGCTGCTGCTGCTGCTGCTTCTGCTGGTGGCAGCGGCGGCGTAGTAGTGGTAGTAGTCGTCGTCGTCGCCGTGGTGGTGGTGGTGGTGGTGGTGGTGGTGGTGGTAGTAGTAGCAGCAGCAGCAGAAGCAGTAGTAGTCGTCGTCGTAGTCGTGGTAGTAGTCTTCGTCGTAGTCGTAGTCGTCGTAGTAGTCTTAGTAGTAGTAGTAGTAGTAGTAGTAGTAGTGGTGGTAGTAGTAGTAGGTAGTAGTAGTAGTTTTTTTTTGTTGTTGTTGTTGTTGTGGTCCTCGTCGTCGTCGTCGTTTTTGCTGTTCCCGTTCGTGCTTTTGTCGTGGATCCTGGTCCTGCTAGTTTTGCTTCTGGTGCTCCTGATCCGTTTCGCTGCTGCTACGGCCACAGCAATGGCAGTGGCGATTTTCGGTCCTGTTGCAACTATCAAGCATTTGCTAGCAGTCAGTGATGTTGGCAACTTCGCTGTTAGTGTGCACTTCCTGCGTAGTGCTCTTTCTAATTCTAATTGACACCTCGTTTTGACTGAGCCCGCGGTGAACAGCGGTGGCGCTCTGCTGTCGACCCAACCTCCGCGCCCAGCACAGGCGGGGTTTTGGCACTTAAGATGTCCGTGATCACAGAGTCAAAGGGTGTCCGGTTTCTGGGTTTAGGGCGTTGAGGATGCCGAGCTTGGAGTTTAAGGGTTCCGATGATCCGCAATCCACGCGAAGGAAGGGCCCACGAAGCCTCGAACCTCTCAGAACCTAGCTCTCAGAGTATCCCCGAAAAGCGTCTGACGGACTCTTTCAAATCCCTCATCGCTTAAAGCCTGTCCCGCCATCGTGAAGACAAATTGCCAAACAAACTTTTTGTCATCAGGATGACTGTCTCCTTTCATGATCTCCCCTCTGCAGTCTCTGCTAGAATATGGGAATGCCGTCTTCTCCGCTAATGTAGAGCCCTGAAAATCGGCCTTTCATCGTGAAGATCCTTAATACGTGGTCCTTTTGAACCCTAACCTGTCCCTATGAAGGCAGCAATCAGGGCTGAATTTTCGGCTCGAGCTTCCAGTAGCTTGGATTCCGCTCGAGTGTCGGCTTTCTCGCGGGATGTCACTGGTAATGCCATCGCAGACATACACCAATAAAGACTATGCAGGCATGTGTATGTGTGTGTGTGTGTGTATGTATGTATGTATGTATGTATGTATGTATGTATGTATGTATGTATGTATGTATGTTGGTTGTATGTATGTTGGTTGTATGTATGTATGCATGTATGTATGTATGTATGTATGTATGTATGTATGTACGTATTTACGCGATGCATCGCAAGTACTACACTATTTGGTGTGACATGGCGCTTACATTATGCTTTATCTTCGATATGCATACGAAGGTACGTAACGCGACACAGGTACGTGTACGACGCTGCAACGACCGTCACTGCAGTTCTCGCGGTATTGACCACCACGGCAATAAACATACTTCCATGCGATTTGTTAGTCGCCATACACTCTCTTGCAGAAATAAATAGTCGTAGACAGCCTCCGGCCGTGATGAAGTTCGATGCCACGTGGCGCAGCGGCCGAGCATTGCTTGAGAAGTCGAAGCTTTTGGAGGCCCTCCCGGATTAGGATGTGAAGTTTACGATTTACCCTAAACCCTGAACCCTCAATCCCAAAGCCTAAACCCTCAGCCCTCAACCCTAAACCCTGAACCCTAAGCCCAGTATGGATAAGGTTTACAGGCTTCGTGGGAGGAGGATGGGAGGGCTGGGGCTCACGGCTCAGGGTTTGGACGCCGGGCTTTTTGGAGCATGGTTTAAGGGTTTAGGTTTTAAGGGTTCAAGGGTTTAGGGGTTTAGGGTTAGGGTCTAAGAGTTTAGGGTTCAGGGATTTAGGGTTTCTAGGTCTATGATGGTGGTTGAAGCAGGATTGTATGGTGACTCTGAGACTGATAATCTAGTATGACCATGACAGCCATGACTACTTTGCAAGGCTGCATTTGCAAACAATGTGCTTTCTTTTCTGACTGGTACGGTATGAACATTGGTATTCAAAAGCTCGCGCGGAGGTGGGATGATCCGGTCCGGCTGTAAAGACGCTCAAACCCTAAACCCTGAACCCACTTCGCCAAACGAACCCGGGTATGCGACACGAGTCCGCTTCTGCCGTAACTTCAAAGTGAGCCTCAAAGGGTCCAACGGTACTACCATGATAGAATCAGGCACAAAAAAAGATCATTCTAGTTCCGGTTCTGGGGAACCTTATTCCATAGTAGTAGTACCCTAAGGGTCCATGTACTCATATAGTACATACATTGGCATTAAAGTAGTCCCTATGTAGGTACATTGGGGCCAAAGTATATAGTATTTGGGTACATGGACTCAAAGGGGTATATAGGGATCCTCTGGGATCACTACGGCAAGCTGCAAGTGTCAAGGCTTAGCCGTCCGGGTTTGCTTGTCGGGGTCCGAGGTTTAGGGTTCAGACATCAGGAGCTCTCAGGGCTGCTTCTGAGGGTGCAAGTTCCCAAATGGTAGGGTTTAGGGTTTTAGGGGTTTAGGGTTTAGGGTTACCCTAAGGGTCCAAGTACCCAAATAGTAGGGTTCCAAGGTCCAAAAACCATTCGGGGTATGGATTTGGGGACCTAAAACCTTACCATTTTCTTGGTGCTCGGACCCTCAGGGTGCTCTTGCATCGCACAGTGATGTGGGCAGTTCTCTAAATGAGGATCTTTTTTTTGGGTCTTAACTTAGGTCAGAAAAATAACCTGGAAAGAGGACCCTCAAAGGGATCCTAGCTTAGAAGCTGCCCGTCCAGCTGTCTTAGTTGATCATAGTGGTGGTTGTCAGCTGCAGCTCTTTTGTTTGCTTATCTTCGTCGTACGTGACGGCAGACTTGTGTGTCTATATACATATATGTACATATCTACAATCACATCTACATATACAATACTTGCCGTATCTTCCAGTCTACTTTTCCCTGTCAAGGTGCGACCTGGACGTCGACTGAACTACCTGCACCTGGACCCGAAGCCCGGGCAGCACAGCGCTCAGTGCAAAGCTCCTGTCGGGTCCTGGGCTCTAGCGGATCAAGGTTTGGGGTAGGGTTTAGGGCTTGTGTTAGGGTGTAGGGTTTGGGGTAGGGTATAGGGTTTAGGATTTAGGGTTTAGGGGATCAGGCGTTGTGGCCCGAGCAGAAGGAGCAACGGGTCGGCTAACTGCTGTGCCGTTAGCTTTTCTGTCCTTCCCGACCCTAGCAGCGCGCCATCGCACTGCGCCGGCCTTCAACGTGAGTGAGGCCTGTCTCCTGTGTGGAGACCTTCCGGGAGGCGCTCTCCCGTGAAATCCCTTGGGGATCTTTCGCTGTTGCTGCAATTTGATTTGCCAACAGCTGTCCAGGCCTTCCACGAGGAGGCATTTTTCCCTCTTGTCGCTGCAATTCGTTTTGCCGACAAAGAGGTAGTACCGGTGGTGTGGTGGTTACATATATGTGGCGACCCCGCCCTTACCTCGTGCTGGTTCCTTTTATATTGCTGGGTCTGGCTTTGATTATTTGGGGCAGTGGAGCCCCCTCTAACCACGGGCAGACCGAGGCGTCTCCCGTCTCCGAGTTGGCACAGGCGCCAGCGCAAAGCCCGCTCCAAGGCGCGCAAAAGACTACGTCAGGGTCGGGAACTGCCAGGCGATCGGGCCCTTCTCGAGGCACATCACGGCAGCATGGCGCCGAAGCCCGCAGACAAGTCCAATCCCAAGACACCCGGCAAGGGGAAAAGCAAAGGTGGAGACATGCCACAAGCTTCAAAGATCGAATTCGCCCTACCATCCGCGATGGTTACCTGCTTACAGGCAATTACTTCCCGATCTACACAAGATCTGTGGACGTCACCAACAGCGGTTCCGACAGATCTTTCGGTCGAACAGCAAGCTCAAAGAAGAGCCTCAGCCGTTGGCAAACTTTCCAAGCGCATCAATGGCAACCTTCGTGCCAAAGAAGAACTTCGCACGGCCCTTCAAACGTGGATGAGTACTATTGGTCTGCACCTAGCTGGCCTGGCTCAGAGGGTTCGGGCACTCGGAGACAAAGTGGATGTGGACCTTGCCGAGGCGTGCCGCGAAATGCAGGAAGCCCTAGCAGCACAACCATCCCTGGCTACGTCGGAGCAGGTTGCCACCGCTATCGATGCTATCGGCAAGCCTATCTGGTCGTTGCCTCAGGAGCAAGAAACCCTCCGCCTGGCCGCCTCTCTTCGTGCATTCAGTGTTGTGGAGGTGCCCGCCAGAGGAGCCGATGTGCCATCGGAGGTCAGTTTTGGGGCGGCAGGTCTCGGCCCGTTTGGTTCGGCAGACTCTGTTATGAGTGGCGACGGTGCAGAGGCCCAGATGCTCGAAGGGGGAGAGAACGGAAGGTTATTCCATACTGGCGATGCGCCCTCTGCTCGAGAGATGGCCCCTGCAAGTGCTGCACCGGCTCGCGAAGTGCATACAGCAGCTCCCGAGGGAGTCGCTTCCCGGGCCAAACGCTGGCGACGACGAGATGGTGCCGATGCCAGCAGACCATCCAAAAGCCCGAGGCGCGAGGTTCTCGCAGGCGCTCCTTGGCCGGCCTCAGCCACGGGGACTACTCCAGATGCCCTGCACCGACAGCCGCGCACGCAACTCCTGGAGGTCGAAGAGCCAGTACGCCCTACAGCAGATGCTGGGTTAACATGGGAGTTAGCATGGCAGCAAGTACTGCAGTTCGCCTTGGAACATGGGACTGCGATGGTGGGCGAGGTTATTCGCGACCCTCAACAAGATACGGTCCTGCCGTTGCAAGACCAAAGCCCAGAGGACCGTACCGATCTCCTGTCGGCAGCCGAGGACCTGTGGATGGTGCTTCAAGCAGCGGCAGGATTGGCAGATGCGGCAGTGGTTCCCTCTCTGTGTGTGCGTCTACAAGAACTACTCAATCGAGTTCGGCAATGCCCCAGTGCGCTCAGTGGAATCAGACAAGGGACGCTGCTGATGGCACAAATCACGGTGGGGAACCTGCTCGACCCGTACTCCTTTGCTCCGACAACTGCTCAGGAATGGCTGTTTCCAGCAGCTAATGCCGAGCATGGGGCACTGGCACGAGGACATATCGCGACGATGCCCTCTGCGTCGCAGGCCATGACCGCTCTGCTCGCACAAAGATGCCCTGCACTCCTTCAGGTACCAGACGATGGCGTTCCGGACTTACTTTAGGATGGGCGATTCTGGTTCTTCTCGTGAGCGCTGTTTCTGCGTGGAGCAAGAATCGATTATGCTGCCTTCGCTTAAGCCAGACGCTGGTGTCGCTAATGAGACGTATTACAGGATGGTTCATTGGCATTCTTGACGAGCACATTAGGGGTGCTGTACAAAGTCTCCGCTGTGCATACCCACGATGTAAGGACCTTGTGTACAGCTCGATTTTCCGTCCGTCGACTTTTCTTTCTGTCAGGCGCTTGGCAGCGCTTGCCCAGGCTTCTCTGATCTCAGGACGCATCTTCCCTGGTTGTCGCCGGTCCCATCGCGGCGGCCCTAAGCGGCCACAGGCTGGCTCTCGGCTTCAAGCTGGTTTGATACTCTGGCTTTTGGTGTTCCCGTGTCAAGGGGTGCAGATATGGCAACAGAGTTTTATTCAGGGGCAGCCCGTCTTCACCACGAACAGTGTTCCACCAGTTCAGGACGTTCGTGATCTTCAACCTGTCAGGACCCCCAACTCTCCTGTCGTAGAGCCAGTGTTAAGAGCCGCCCCTCAAGCACTTCGCACGATCTGTGTATATCGGCCTCATTCGGCTGAGCAACCAAATGTTTTGCTTACTGATGACAGGATGCATGGGCAGCTCTTGCATCGTATGATTTGCTCTGCCTTCGGCCTTGTCGATTCGGAATGGTGTTTAAGGCGTCTTGTGGAGGCTCTTCCATCACTGCCACCAGAACAATATGTGTTGTCGCCGGTGATCCTTTCTTGGGACCAGGTGTTAGTGCCGGTGGACCTACGGCCGCTGGGCGGTCAAGTCCGCCTTCAGCTCACGAATCGCTGCGTGGCCTGTGGAGAGGTCGCAGCCCGTGCCATGCAAACACAGCATCTGGGCCCATGCCCGGTCACTCTTTGTCGCACGAGCCAAGGTTGGTTCCATCCCACTGCTCGTCTACTTTTGTTGCCGTTTGGCGATGCCTTCCAGGTCTGGCCGATGCATCAAGCTCCAACTACCGAACTGCGGTCACTCGCAGATAATGAGGATAGGGCCCCTACACTTGAAGATCGATTCAGCACCAGCCTCTCACTCCCGAGTACTGGCGAGCTTGCATACCACGACCTCAGCGGGGCCAATGCTGTCATTCTGCACATGCATGGTCACACATATGCTTGTGTTCCTTCGTACGCGGACCACTTAACATCGCGATCAGCTGCATTGGATGCCGTAGCGGCCGACCTCCAGATCCAGCCTGCTGGCCGGCTCTGCTTTGCGCGCCTCCTGCCTCCTCTTGATCGTATGCCAGCCATTCAGTATGTTGCTGCCTACTGCTGTGACGGTGAAGTTATGGGAGTTGTGGACCTCCGGCCTTCTAATGGAGGGGTTTATGTAGTTGCTGTTCCGGAAGGCGCGACACCGGCCGAGAGGATCTCGGTGGCTATCAACATGCACGGAGAGCCCGCGGCGAACAGTCCAATTGCGGCTAGTCTGGCACAGGGCCATTTGCAGGTCCTCCACCGAGAACATGTTGTGGATCCTTTTGCTCCTCTGAACGCTGCTCAGCCGGCCCCCATTGTTGTCCTTCGGCGGCGCAGTAATCTTGCCGCAGGCTACAGGGATCCCAGCTTGCCGCTTGAAGACTCTGGTACCGATAGTTATGAGGTTCCTTTGTTCTACAGCCCAGAGCCAGAAGAGGTATCAGCGGCAGCCAGTTCCGCATCGGGTTGGATTGGACCTCTGCTTGGGTGCCTCTCAGTTTCTGTTGCTCCCCGTCCGTGCCTGCTCCCCCTTCTGGTCGCTGCTGCGCTGGCTGTTCGAGACCTGGCTCCCAGTGAGCCTCTTTCCTCTCATGTTGAAGGTAGGCCGTGGACATTTGTTCAGCAACACCCAAGCCTTGCCTCTTTTGAAGAGCATGCCACCCTTGGGCGGAGTCTTTCGGCTTTGGATGCCCGTAACACTCTGAGCCTTACGTTTGATATGAATGCAGGCCTTCCTGAATTCCGGATCTGTGTCTGGAGCCCCGCCGAGCAGAGATGTTTCTTTGTAGCAGGGTCCGCCCAACCTCACGTTCTTCGTGAGCGTCTGTTCGAGACTAAGGTGGTTATGCAGCGTCATGATTGTGTTCCTTGGGATCCATTGCCCTTTGATCGTGGTATCCATTATGTTGCCACCAATTCTGATGCGGCGGTCGTCACTGTCATTGCTGATACTGGGAAGGAATATTTTTGCCTTGATGTCCCTAGACGGCACTTTGGAGCTTCGTTTCTGCAAGCCCTTCAGTTACTGTGCCCACAAAGATGCTTCAGAATCTCGGAGAATGTCCGTACCCCGGTTCGCAACGGCGATGTCATCCGCGTGTTCGACGATCAACTCTCCGCATGCGGGACACCTCAGTTCTATGTGCCTCGCTTCTCTCTCCCACCTGTTCTCGAAGCAGGTACTCAAATGGTCTACGTAGTCTCAGCTGACATGGGAACTATTCGGCTTAAGATACCGTTGGGGGTCGAAGTCGGCGTCATTGAGCGTGCCCTTGTTGTTTGGTTAGGCCGGCAACGCTGTTTGGGCACGCGGTTGCATAAGCTTGATCTTGATGTGGCTGTGCCCGTCTACTGCCTTCCGAGACGGGGGAGGAGCACCCTGGCTGTCGGCTTGATCGACTTGGCTGACCCTGTCATGGATACCATTGTGCATGTCGTCGATTCGGCCGGTCTCGCGGAACTGGACTGCGAAGTCCTACGAGAACCCTGGCGCCCTGCATCCCTCTTCTGGAATGATGTGCTGGAAAGGGAGCCTGTGTGCATTGCCTGTTGGTCTGCCTCTGATACGGCTAGTGGGGGTAAATATCCTGTTCGATTAGTGACACTAGGCCTTGACATATGCCGGGCTCTTGGATCAGGATGGCAACCTCCTGCTGCCAGTATGGTGCCTGAGTACGACCTTGTCGTGGCAGCCGAGCATCTTGGCATCCAATGGGGCCATGCTCAGGTTGGCAAAGGGAAACCTGCCTCGACGCAGACTGCTGCCTCGTATTGGCCCATGCAAGCCTCCCCCCTCTTCTCGTCGGCGATGCCGGTGCCGCGCCGAGCCGACGGTTGCTCCTTTGATGATAGACATGGGGCTGAGGGAACGCTCTTTCATCTCGAATGCCCGCAAATGCAGGTCCGATGCACCATCCCATGTGTCGCAGGACGGCACATTTGGGCCATACGCATGGGTAATTGGGTACGGGCTGCTTGCACAACTACGCTCGGTTGGGACGAAGTGCTTGATGTGGCAGGCCTGTCATACTGGGACCTTCCGGGAACCAGTATCCATGGCCCGCACCAGGTCTGGACCTGGCCAGAGGATGTTCTTTCCTTGTCGGGTCAATGCGGACATGTAATGCATAGCGGCAGTGACCCATGTCTAGAGTGTCTCTACTCTGCCGATCCACGCCCACAGCCTGTTCCTCCTGAACACTCTGCCGGATTCCGCCCGCTTGGGTCAACCTGGATCCCCCTTCTGCTGTCGTGCTTCGCTGCACGTCGGCTTGGCTGCCACTGGATCGTGTTCATTTTTGTCCTTCCAGCCGGCTGGGCCACCGGAAGTTCGGGATCTTCTGATACGCCCTCGGTTCTCCATAGTCCTAGCTCTTCTGAGGGACTTGCTGGCATGGAAAACTCCACTCCTGGTTGCATTCCTGCGTGGTGTCATGAGTTGTCGTGTCAGAGCACGCACTTCACTGTCGATGCAGTGTCACTGGCGGAGTACTTCCTGCAGCACTCCCCAACAGAATTGGTCCGGGTGCAGTTGTGGGTACCGTTCCAGGGGCCATCCTTGTTTGATTTCCTGCGAGATGAGCCCGCAGAGGTGCTTCACTCTAAATTACTTGCTGCCGGCCATGACCCCACACGTCGGGTCTTGTATGTCGCTTTTGATACTCAGAGCACTGTTGTAGACCTGCTTTCCGTCCCACCTGCTAGTGGTCGCTGGTGGATGGTTCGTGACGGCATTTCTCGTGAGCTTCTGAGGCCTGTTACTACATGGGTAGAAGCTAACCGCAGAGCTGTGGTTACATTGAACTCGCATGGACAGGTTGCAAGTTTAGTTGCCACGCCTGAAACTGCTGCGCTATATAACTTGCCGCAAGGTGCCAAAGGCGTGACGGCCACTCCCTTGACCCGCGTCTATGGGCACTTAACTGCTCTCGGTCTTGTTTTGTTTGAAGCTAGCATTGGGACAGTCTCCGGATTAGCTCCACGTCCCCTGCCTCTGCTTGGAGCTCTGTTGCTCACAATGCTTCCTAGTCATGCTATGATGCAGGGTCAGGTTGTACCAGCGCGGAACCAAGCCCACTGGCATACCGCTCAAGACCTCCCGCGGCAAATGCGAGTGTGGACCCACACTCTTGCAGCGCCTGTGGTTGTTCCGTATGCGGCGGAGCCTAACCCGGCCAGGTTGTCTGCTGCTGTCGCTGCTACGCATCGGGGAGTGCGGGGAGATGGTGTTTTTGATTGGACCGTGCCACGTCAACACGGTGATGCTGCCCACATCATACATTATCCTGCTGGCTTATGTCCGCCCTTTGTGTTCTGGCTCGTGCATTACCGTGGACGGGGATCTGTGATCTGTGCCACCCCAGGGAATATAGATTGGCCGTACCTGGCACGGGAAGCCGCTGAAGCGTTTGCGTCTTCTAGCTTCATGCAGGGCTCCTTTGGCATTCAGCACAACGGTAGGGTCTTTGCGTATGGCTCCGAGTTAGCGGCGCCACCTCATGGCACAATACTGCACTTGGTCCGCACTGGTGTTCGCTCCTCTGCCAACACTGCATCCAGTGTATGGGACGCACCTGCCGAACTTCCATGGATCCCTCAATTCGAGTACAACCTATGTCTGGGCCCGGGGGGAGAAGCCCCTATCCAAGACGGCTCCCTGGAACACCGATCAGCACCGTGCTCGGGAGACGAATTACAAGCCTCCCTCTCCTATATGCAGCATCTTCTCGGCGGCTTAGAGCAGTCCGTCGAAAGATGTCAAGCAGTAGCTGTTGCGCTTGAGGCCCAGCAAACCCAACGGGACTCGGTCCCTTACTTCAACGGGGAACAGCCGGAGCCTGCTGACTCTGCCGCTTGGGGTTTGCAGGCACCTGGGATGCTTCCACGTCTTGGTATGTTAGCGGCTCTCGGCTTCTTAGGCGGAGGTCACATCTGGCTGCTGTTCCCTGGATTGCTTGCGGTCGCTCCGACCATTGTGAAGGCCGATGCTTCGGATGATGAAGTGCCGGACGGCCCCACCGAGCCAAGCTCACCAGATCTCACTGAACTGCAAGCCCCTACCCCTACTGGAAATGTCGAACATGGTGTCGAACCCTCAGTAGGGATTATACAGCGTCCTAGTGATTCATCACTTGCTAGTACCTCCGCTCCCCTGCGTGGTGAGATTGAGCCCCAGCTTGACATCTTTGATGCCCATACTGTTGCTCGGCTCCAACGCACTGTTGCAGCTTGCCTCAGCGAAGTGGATGTGGAAGATCCCACTACGCCTTTTATACCGGCAGGATGCCCTTTCACCATTCATAACCCGTTTACGTGTCGCTCTCAGTGCAAAATTATGTCTGAGCTCATACAGTCCCCACAGGCTTTGCGCGCCGTTTTATCTGACTTTTCTGCGCGAAGAGGCTGGCAGCCGCTTGTGAGTCTGCAGCCTCAACCGGATGCTCGTAGTATCCATCTTATTCCGGCTGCTGCTAATCCAGATTTGGCCGCTGTGGTTCTTCGAACCGGCTCCGCGTTGCAGCCTATCTGCCTTGCCCGGACGTGGCAAGGAAATCCGTACCGCAGGATTGTCCTGAACGGTCGCCATGGACGGCTACGGGAGCCTTATAGCATATCCCGAGGCAGTGGCGGTGCAGTTGCCTTTCGAGATGGGGATTGCATGCATGCCGATATGGGACCCTTTGGCCCACCTCCACCCACCCCAGCTCGCTCCGATGGACACCGATTGTCAATTACTGTCGGGGTTATAGCGGTCATGAGGTTCCTTCTGCCAGGCCGCTTTGCCCTTTTGTGCCTTGCGTTGCTTGCCACATCCCCCGCTGCGGTCCAGCTCGTGCCACCTGCGCCTGATGGGGTTTCTTCTGCCCGTTACTCGGTCAGCCACTATCCCTGGCGAGAAGCTGTTGAGCAGCAACACCTCAACCGAGTTTGCCGGGATAAGGGCTGCCGGATCTCGCTCCTATGCCCGTGGCGAGGGCCGCAAGGTTTGTACCACACCACTTCGCAGGCCACGCTTCACGATGTATGGCACCATTACGAAGAGTCGGGTCGCCCTCAGGAGCTTATGCCTGTGTGGCCTGGGCTGACTGCTGATCGACTTTGGTTTGTTCCACGTGCACATATTGCCGGAGCGTTGGTTTGCGTGGTTGCACATCAAGATACTAGAATTCAAGCCCTAGTGATCCCGACACGGTCTTCGCCTGCTCGGTTGCTGCAGACCATCCGTTATATGACTGGATGGGCGGTCGACAGTATCGGCCTTCCCCCGGGGCTTCATACACAAGTTGACAGAGTAGCCGATGCATCTTGTCTTCTGCGGGATGGTGATGTGCTTGATGCTCTTTCCTCTCCTGATCAGAGGCGGCCATACCTCATTCGCAGTCCGTCCGATCTTAAGAGCAATGTTTTGTGGACTCAGCACATGACTCTGCAGCAACCCACCTTCATTCGTATTTGGACCCCGCGAATACGGCCCTCCATCCTCCTTTGTATCGCTGTTGGCGAACACTGGGAACCGGAGAAAATGTCCTTTACTGGAGAGTTCCGACACAACCACCCGGGACGTTGGGTGCCAGTTCCTTGGGCGCCGTGCCGCCTTCCTCACTTCGTGCAGGCGGCGGAGGAGGAGGATTGTGCCAATATCTTGTTTGAGGAGCCGTGTGGCGTGCATTGCGTTACCCTAGATCGTCGGGTTACTCCGTACGACATTACCCTTGGCACGCCAGAGCATAGTCGGGGAGTACGCGTTCTTGGCAACCTACACATTGGTACCCACGCCCCGCTCGACTTGCGTGATGGCGATATTGTGGTGACACACCTCCTTGCTAGGGCTGAAGATTCGGCATGGCCGGATCTTCGTAACTCTGTCAGTGGTGTAACCAGCAACTGGAATATCCGATTTGCAGCCTGCCTCCTTCTTCCGACGAACCGTCTGAGTTGCCTCGCTGCCATGGTTGTTTCTGGTGTTGCAGCAGTTTCTCGCCCTGATACTGTACACCTCCATGGCCGGTCTAGATCGCCGCACCGTGAGGACACCTCACGCTGCCCTAGCCCGCGTATAGGTTACTGGCGGCCTGAAAGGCGACACCAAATGAGTCTCGTTGCCACTCGCAGCGAATGCCACTATCAGGTTCTCTGCCCTTTTCGGGGTTGGGGCGTTCCCGTGCCTTATACCCGTGCTCTTGAATCCCCCTCTCTCCTGCAGGTTGTGCACAGGGATTCTGGCAACTGGGCGGTGGGATATCTACCGGTTGGCGGCGACCATATCGATCATTTTACGATCATCCTTCCGCTTCCGCCTGCGCCTCTGGTGATAGCTGTCTTGCACTGGGGTGACACTAGCCGGTCTATCCTTCTTCCGGCCTGCCTCACTTTACGCCAGGCGCATGAGTACATGCTTGCTCAGGGCGCTACATCAGGTTTGCAAGTTTTGGGACCTCCCTCTCTCCGGCGTGTTGGCGGATACGAGGACGAGGAAGTTAGGTTGCGGCATGGAGACACCTTTGAGTTGGAAACAGGTCCTTGGCACCCGCGGGCCCGGCATCGCGAAGCCCTTCCTGTTCCTGATTTGCAGCATCTCCCACACCTTAATGTATGGCACATGCGGGTTGTCGTGCAACGAGGTGGCTGGGCATCTGTCTGGGGGACATCAGCGGATGGCACTAGTTGCCACACCAGGCACTGGATACCTGATGGCTCCTTGTGGTCTCCCAAGTGGCTGCAATTCAGTGTCGATGGTCGCCCTCTTTCACAGGGCAGATGGGTCCCAACTGCATTTTTGCCCGAATATGAAGTCGGCTTTGTCGAGCAGCCGGATCCGCTTGCTGTTCATGTACTCTTATACCAGCCCTATGATCCCACTGCTACCTCTTGCAGGCGCCTGCTGTTGGAGCCCTCTGCTGAACGTACCGCTCTTAACAGAGTTTCTGAGGAGTGGCAGCTCCGCCCGGACTTGCAGGCACGTGTGTCGGTGCCGTGGCCTCGGAATGGTGACGTGATGGTGCCCAGGATACAACACACCGCATTACAAGCCAGCCTTCTCTCCGCTGGTCTTACGGGGTTTGCTTATAAATCCGGGCCTTGTCTTCTGTGGATTTCATGTTTTCTCTCTCTCAGTGTCGGTGCCCTTGCGGATAAGGGGCACAGTGTTGCGGAGGAGATTCTCCCAACGGCGCCTTCCCTGGAACACATACCCTCACTTTTATCGATTGCTGTCTTTGCTGTCAGCGGACGGTTTTGCACCATTGGCTTGTTGCCATTCGCGGCCGCTATGGTGATGCCTACGGCAGAGCAGCAGCAGACACCGCCGGTGTCGATCGGTAAGTTTCCGTGGCGGGATCCCCCCCAATATCGGGTTTGTGGGGACTCAGTGTTTCCGGGAGCCCGTGCTCGCTTGCTGTCTCCCTTCCGCGGGGACGGGGATGAGGTTGAAGTTTCGGCTGACACCTCGATAGATGATCTCCGCATCTCCCTAACAGGGGCTGAACCATACTGGCATGGCGACATTATGCCGGTATGGCCTTCGATGTGGCCTCAGACGTCAGTCTATGTTCCCATTCCGACTGGTGGGGATCTCGTTTGCATCGCAGTTGTATCGCCGGAATGGCAGCTGGCTGTTCTCACACCACGACGGGCGGATCTGGATTGGCTTCTGGCATATCTTCGGCGAATTACCCCGGGTCCGATACTCTCCCTGCACCCTCCGCTGGCCGCCTGTCCAGATGAGGCATCCCAAGCCATCGATTGGCGATCCGGCGATGTCCTGCTGGCTTTCCAATGTGGCAGCACAGCTGTGGCGTACGAGTTACCCGTCTTTCTTTCTCCGGCCCACGTACGCCATGCAGCTATCTGGAACTACGATTTTGTGGTTCAATGTGAGGTTCCACTGCTGATGTGGCGAGTTGGTCGGCGTCCTGCTGCAACCACCATGCCACCGCCTGCTCGGTGGGTGGCCTCCGAACAGACATTCACTGGGCGATTCGGAACTAAGTACCCTGGCCGCTGGGCTCCTGTGCCGTGGGCGCATACCGAGCATGTTGCCTTGTGTCAGAGTGCTGATAGCCCCGACCACTGTAATATTATCTTCGAGACCTGTGAAAACCTGCATCTTAGTGGAGAATGCCTCACTGTCTCTACCTCCTCCAGTAAGTATTCGCTTTCCCAGCTGACTGGAGTTAACGCTGACAGTCTTACCCTGCTTGGTCAAGGAGTCGACACGGCAGATTTCCCGCCTCTGCGAGATGGTGATGTTATTTTTCACGATGCAGAGGGCGAGACAGGACGCACCTGCCGCAATAGTGCTCGACCCGTCCTTGCTGTACTCGTGTGCGGGCTTTCGAAGTGGGCCTGCCCTGTCGCGCTTGTTGGCAGTTGGTGGCCACTTGTTGAGCTCTGGATTGGTAGCTCTTTGTCGCTAGATGGTGCTCCTCCTGCTTGGAACGACGACCAAGGGCCTTTACAGGGGTCAACCACCTTTGGGGTTAGAGATGGTGCTGGCATAGGTCGTAGCCCTCGCACCTGCAATATGCTTTACCATTGCTTAGCGCAGATGGCGTCATACCTCCTTGCTTTCGGTGCGCCTGCTTGGGAACGCCGACAAAACTTGTGGGTGAGCGACTTCTCCGACGTGGCTCTGCTTCAAGCCCGCTTGCACCACATATGGTGGTCTCGCCCACTCCGTGTTGGCTTGCCCACACTCTTCCCGCGTTCTTACCATGCAGCATGGGGTGCGTTTCCACACTGGCAAGGCGGAGTTCCTCAGTCCTTGTTGATCGCTACGGATGGTAGTGGTACTCAGGGTGGTGCTTGGGCCTTTATTGTCTGGGCTCATGATGGCTCTGTTTGGCACCGAATCGGGTGGGATGGTATGGCCCTCGCGGCTACCCCCTGGGCACCGTCCAGTGGCCACACTCGCCCGGCTTGGCATTCGTACGCTAGCGAGCTCACTGCCCTACAGGCAGCCGCAATTTGGTGCCTCACTGTCCTTGACCAGTGGCAGTTGTGGACACGGGCCTCCCCTACTACTGTCACGATTGTGGTTGATAACGCAGCTGCTCTGCAAGTTGCTGCTGGCCAAGGAGCCGCACAAGGAGATGTGGCTAAAGCCACTCGGGTCCTCTGGCAGGCGGTTCAGGGTCGAGTTGGCACAGTTTTCCGCCATGTACACAGCCACGTTGGTGTTCTTGCCAATACACTTGTGGATGCCTTAGCTGGGCTTCGGCTGCCATGCCCACTTGCTATACAAGAGCAAGCCCGCATCGCGCCAGCTCTGGGTGACCTGATGGCTGCTTTCGGGGCTTATCTCTGGCTTTTGCCTCGAGCTCGTATTATTGATGGTCAGCCTTGCTTGTGTCTTCCTGCTGAACATACTTGGCCTACTCACCACAGCACCCGGAGCGTAGGTCAATCAGTCACGACTGTGTGCCCAGCATCCGAGCCTGTCCATGCTGACATCCCTACTCAAGCCTCCTCGAGTGAGTCAACCCTGCGCTCGATTTCATTGAATGTTGTCACAGCCAATGTTCAGACAATGAAGGATGCTAAGCCTAGTCTTTTCAATCCATCCGGACACGCGGCAAGGCGTCAACATCTTCTTCACCAGGTTGAGCGCATTCCCTGTGACATCTTTTGCGTCCAGGAAGCTCGAAGCAGCCCTGGGAGATGGAGTACTGGTGGCTGGTTATCCTGGCGCTCGGGACACACCAAGGGACAGTATGGATGCGAAGTGTGGATTCGCCCTTCGATTCTTGATCCCCCGCTTGCACTTCAATCCTGGCGCATCTTGGTATCCGCGCCGCGGATCCTGCTCGTGACTTGCACTGATCCACGGCTGCCAATCACTGTCTGCTCAGCTCATGCCCCGCACGCTGACCGCCCGGACACCGAAGCCACCACCTTCTGGCAGGACCTCAAACTCGCCATCTTGAGAGCTCCCTCTTACCGTGGAGTTGTACTGGGGCTTGACGCTAATGCAGATTTCTATGCCCCTGACGAGGACGGTCTACTTATTGGCGATCTCACGGCAGTGGGGGAGCCAGGACGTAACGACATGCACCTGTTGGAATTCTGTATACACCTCGGCCTAGAGGCCCCTGCAACGCGTGTGGAGGTCCAGGTCGGTCCTGGCTGGAGCTGGGAACATACGGGAGGCACTCGTAAACGCCTCGACCATCTCTTGTTCCAAGCAGGCCCCTGGGATGTGCATGCTACGAGCCAGGCCCTCGATCTGGATTTGGGCCACCATACGCGTGACCATATGCCTCTTCGGGCCAAAACTTGTTTTCACAGCCCTTGCCCGCCACCACGCCAGCAAGGTCCACGTAGGTGTACGGCTGTTGAAATGCTCTCGCACGGAGAGGAGATTTGGCATAACGTCCGCGGGCAGCTTCACCCTCACCATGGCCCTGATCAATGCGTTGACCTGCTAATGCAGGAGTATGGCAGGATTGTCCAACGTTTGCCTAAGAGGACTCCTTTCATTCCGCGGCAACCGTACCTAACGCCTGCCACAGTTGTTGCGCTTGGCGATCTTCGGGACTGGCGGCAACAGCTTCGCGTCGTGAGTCAGACGCAGCGGATATGTTGTTTGCAGGTCTGTTTCTCCGCTTGGCGGTACGGGCGGGCCAGCACCTCGGATCTTGCTGCTCGCCGGGACTCGCGACGTCTCCTGGCTGCCTTATCAGGGCAGGAGCGACATCTTTCGCACAAGGTGCACGAGCTTGCCAGAAGGGATAAAGCCCATCATTTCCTAACTCTCACTCAGGCAGCCACTGATCTCTGGCACTCGGACGGGAGACCAATGGAGGCCCTCACTAAACTGAGGTGGGCTTCCCGCAAGGCGGCGGAAAAAAGGGCGGTGTTCGCTGCTGGTGGCTACGATATTGACGCGCAGCTGGAGGAACAGTTTCGTGCACAAGAGGACGGCCGGCGGGTCACTGAGACGCAGATAGCTCAGGAATATCGTGCCTGGGTCTCTGGCCCCTCACCCGCGTGCCCCTCCGCACTCCCAACTCTTCTTGAGCTCGAACACCTGTGCAGGCGACAGAAAGCCGCCAAAGCTCCAGGGCCGGATCTTATCTTGAACGAACTCTGGAGGGTGTTTCCTACATACTCAGGCCAGTGGTTCTGGCAAGTATGCACGATGGTTGCTCTCACTGGACACGAGCCACTTCACTTCAAACTTGCTTTGCTCTGCGCCTTGTACAAAAAAGGCCCAGCGGCCTTGCCGCACAATTATCGTTCCATTGCTCTCCTTAATGGAATGGCTAAAGTGTGGCATAGTCACCTTCGCTCTTCCATCGGGCAATCTGTTCTTCGGGGATACGCTCCCTTCCAGCTCGGCGGGCGCAAAGGGATCCCTGTAAGCTTTGCCGTCGCAGCTTACCGTTGTGCTGCTGATCTGAGCCACGCTGCGGGCCGCAGCATTGCGGTACTTTTCATCGACATACAAGCAGCTTACTATGAAGCCAGCCGTCAACTTGTGTTCAATGGTGGGGAACTGAATGTCCCTGCTGCTGGCCTTAGCGGAGAGCACCTCCGGCCCCTTGCTCATGAGCTCCTTCGATCGGGAGCGCTTGAGGTCCTTGGTGTACCCGATGACGAACGCAACCTACTGCAGGACTGTGTTGAATGCTCGCATTGGCGCTTGGTGTCTTCTAGCCGCACCTACGCAGCTATGAGAGGATCGCGACCTGGTGACGGCCTCGCGGATATCCTTTTCGGGGCCCTGTTTTCCATTGCCTTGCGACATATCCAACGCACTTGCAAAGCGGACGGCTTGGTCCATCGCTCAATTGGTACCGCTGTTGGCACAGATGGAGACCTCCTCCAGCTAGGATGGGCTGATGATCTGGCGATCATCGCTGACTTCGATGCCCCGGCAGACCTTCAAGCCCAATTTCCGCGTATAGCTTCCATTGCCATTTCTACATTGCAGGCGATGAAGTTCCGGGTTAATTTGGGGGCCGGCAAAACTGAGGCCCTTCTTGACATCCGTGGACCTCACGCGAAGCGCGTCAGGGGCGAAATGTTGACTGGTCAGTCTACCGTCGTTCTGGCCCAAGATATCACGCTGCGGGTTGCGCCTGAGTATCGGTATCTCGGAGTGGTTCAAACACCTCACGACACTGGCCGCAGAGACATGGAATTGTGTGCCCGTCGGGCTTGCAGTGCATGGGCTCACGGTCGCAGCTTACTGACCGGGTCATGCCTTCCGTGGGCCCTTAAAACAGCTTGGCTCTCAGGCCGTGTACTCCCTGCTGCTTATGCAACCCTGGCAACTTCCGTGGCTGTTTCAGCACGGGCTTGGAGTCCTCTCACTGGATTTTATGAGCGTGCAGCAAGAACTTTAGTTGGTTCATGGCAGTTCGGTCATTTCTTGACGGGGCCCCTCATGGGAGCGGTACTTGGCCTCGCCACCCCTGAACATGCTGCCATAGTTGCCCGTGTTCGGCTGGTGACCCAGCTTGTCACTGTCGGCCCCTCTGCCCTCTTGGATGTATTTGAAGCTGCTTGGAACCGAGCCACGCCTTGGTGTGAAATCCTTGCGGACGGTCTGCGGTCCTTGTCCGTTGCCCTGCCTCCGATTTCGAACCTTCCGGTCACATCCCTCGCTTATGTTCGCAGGGCTGCTACGCACATCCGCAAGCTCTGCCGACGTATTAGCCGCTGGGGTTCTCAGATGCAGGCGGTTTGGGATCTTTGGCGTGACGTTGTCTCGCCGCGTCACAAATCGGTCCTTGGGGCCCCTACCATACTTCGTTGTCCGCTGTGTCAGCAATCGCTCCCTAGTCGGCACTCCTTGGCAGCACACATGCACCGTAAGCATTCAGTTGTTAATGTGTTGACACGGTATACCGAGGGGACAGTGTGCCTGTGGTGCCACACAGAGCACCACTCCACTGATCGCCTTAAATATCATCTCAGCAGGTCTGCTTTTTGTCTTCACGGTCTGCGGGTTGTCACCGGTCCCGTGTATTCCTATGGATCTGGTACGAAAAGAACTGGGGATCGTCAGCACCGGGGACTGCCTCCAGTTCGCCTGCCTGGGCCCGTTAATGCGACGCCGGTACAGCGCCGCGCTGCCAGCGAGGGCCGAGAATGCACAGCTGCCGAACTCTCTGCTGAGCTGTTCCAGGCAACCGGCGCTGACAGCCTTCATAGCTGGCCCGCTCTTGCTCTGGACGTAGCTACTTGCAGGGAAGGTGAGGTCCGTGACCAGCCATTGGCTTTTCCCCTAACTGCCGGGCAAGCGCCCTCGTCAGGTCCTACTCTGTCTCCAGCTGCTGGTTGCGTCAGATGGTTCTCGTTGTCCGACTTCTCTTCTGTCGCTGCTACGGACTGGCGCACTCCATCCCCTCTTTGGGACGGCCTGTTTCAGCAACCCTTCGTCATTCAACTGCCCGCCCGGTGGCACCGGTTCTGGCGCATTTGGCAAGCTATGCAGTCCTTTCCTTCGTGGTCCCCCCATTCATTTCGGGCTGCATCGGTGCTGCGGGACGCTAGTGCTGTTCTTCCTGGCCTTGGGCCTGCTGCTTGCGCGCCCCCGCCAGAATTACTGGACTTCCTAGCTGCTACGATAGCGTTCCGTCGGATCTGTTTGGCGATCCAGTCAGGAGGATGCTTTTGGATTTCTGGTGTCCCCAGCTCTATCGGGCGTTCTCTCCTGCGTTGCCTTCTGCCCTCCGCGGTATTTTATACCGTGCCGGCGCAGTTGTCTTCTGCCTTCGTTGTCGCGCACGTGACCTCCTCCCCGTCCGTTTGGCATTGGGAGTTGAGCTCCTTGCTCGATGGCGTCCTGCCGACCGCCTCCCCGCGTGTGCTTTCCCTTCGTGCGTCTCTGGTTTACCGGACCCGGTCGCTGAGCTGATTGCTCGCCTTGGTTCTGTCTCTCCGTTTCACTTGCCGTGGTTCGTACAGCTCGAACCATTTTTAGGCATGCATGTTGACCGCGCCGGACATCCGCAATGCGAGTGAGTGAGTGAGTGAGTGAGTTTAGGGGATCAAGGTTTGGGGTGTAGGGTGTTGGAGGTCCAGGACTCGGAACTCAGAGGTTGCTGAGAATCAGAACTAGAAGCCGGAGGCTGGCAGCTCGTATCTCCATCGTTTCTGCTTTGGGGTTTAGGGACTGCTTCGAATGTTCATGCCCTGGCCGGAGCTCGTTTCTGCGAGGACGGAGTATTAGGGTTTAGGGTTCAGGGTTTAGGATTTAGGGTTCAGGGTTTAGGGTTTAGGGTTTAGGGTTCAGGGTTTTCATGGTTTAGGGTTTAGTGGAGAAAGTCCCGCATCATCACATCTGGGAGTTGGTCTACACTCCGGGGTCCGGGGTGCGGGGCCTTGCTAAAGGACACTGTCACACAAAATAGGAATTGCTTCTCACACGGTCACACAATTTGCATTCTTAAGGCACCTTTGTTCCCTGAGGCCAACTTTGCTCCTGGTCCATGGCAGTGCGGCGGCTTTCTCGCAGTATCTGCCCTTGGTGGAGCCATTGGTGGAGTGGCTCTTCAAGAGCAGTTGGGGTAGGTTAGGGTATAGGGTTTAGGGTTCAGGAGTTGGGGGGGGGGGGTATTAGACGGTATGTTGGAAGATCAGAGGTTATGTCACCTGCCACCGCAATCTTATCCAGGGATCACGGAATCCATGCAGCTAACGCCAAAACCAAGGTCAAACATCGCCAGTAGGTTCTCCGGTGTCCCACTTGAAATGGTTCCGAGGAAGATGGGCTATGGGATTGTGACCTTCGATTGGTACGGCTGCGGTGGCAGTGACAAGCCGGACAGGGCATCTGCATGCAGACTCACCATAACCCCTTTTGATTAAATCCACGTTTCAGAGTATGGCTTGCCGCCGATCTTTCGGCTACTGGCCTCTACATAAACACTCATAAACACTCTACAAGACGTGATAGAGCAAAACAGGTGGCTGACAAGAACGATGCAAAGCCTCAAACCGGCCTGAAGGATTCAATCTCTCCAGTCTTCGGGTTTGAAGTTTAGGGTTTAGGGATTTACCTTTGCTACGGCGACTGCTACGTGTATCACCAGGGACGACGATGACAAGATATGAGAAGACTCCTGCTCTGCAACCTCGGCAGCAGCAACGACGCTGATTCCTGCTGCTGCTGCTGCTGATGATGATGCCCATGCTGACCGTGATACCTGGTATGCGTCATGACAGCAAAATCAAGACCTAGCCATCATGGGTAAGGGCCCGAGCACCACCAGCATCAACAGTAGAAGCAGCAGCAGCCGTAAGTGGCAGCAGCAGCTGCAACCGTACCAGTGGTGGTAAGTGTATGTATGCAATATCGCAGAATCATCTGTTCCATCTTGCCCTAAGCCCTCAACCCTAAACTGTTATCATTTGTTCTATCTTCCGCCGCAGGACTCTTGGTCAGCCTACTCTTTCGATGAGCTCCTGGCAGATCTGAAGGAAGTCTGGAAGTTGGCAGCCGCCTGTGGTACCGGGCCTCACTTCGTGTCAAGACTTGAATTTGGGGTTTAGAGTAGAGGCTGCAGGGTGGGCTTGGAGTTTAGGGTGTTGGGGTTTGCATGGGGGTTGGGGCACTTCTTGGTGAGGGCTTGGCTTGCGGGTCATGCAGCCAGCTATGGTGGTGGACGAGTTGCATGATCTCACATTTGGGGCTTCTCATCGTTGTCTGCGGAAGAGCTTGCAGGGTGGAGGGTTTAGGTCTTGACATGGGAGGTCACCTGTGCAGGGCGCATGTGGTGGTTCCGAGACTCCGGCCATGATTCCGCTTTGCCTCACGCATCCGCGCCCGCAAACACCGGAGCCCGGAGCCATCGGACCGTTGGGATCTACAGTTATGGGATGCTATTACTACTGTGCCCACAACTGCTTCCAACCCCGATAGTACTGTTCTCAACCGAGGGCAAACAAAGGGGCGGCCATGCCTTTAGAAACTTCATGGTGACAACAGGCACGACAGATACACAGCGGCTTGCAATGAGAAGCCTTACGCACAAGTAGCATTGCGCGTGCAGACGTGGAGACTAGGTGACCTGCAGCCTTGTTGATAGTAGATTCAGGTAATACAAGGGCCTCAACAATTGCCTATACTATGTTGGGGGATGCTTATTCTAAGTATATAATAGTATAATATACCTGAAGGACCTATTCAAATTACTAAGGCCCCTACTTACATCACACTTGTCACTTCTTTCATTGCTGCTGGTTGTGCCTTGTCCTAAGCATCGGATCTTATTTGCGAGTGATGCGAAAGGTGGCTGGTCATTCCTTCGGCACGCACTTGGTGATTCGCCTCTCGGCACTAAGCATTTGTAGCCAGGGCCTTGCTTCGCGCCGTCTCCCTGCAGTGTGCCACATTTTCTCAGCAGTTCAAGGGGGAAACGGCAGGAAATGAACTTCCGGGACCAAGTGCGGTCCTTTCGGAAATGCAGCACTCTTTACACTCTTCTGGTTCAGCTCCAATCCTAGCAGCCCTGGTCGATTCAGATATAGGGTGTGTGAATTGGAGCATGATAAACCCTAAACCCTAAACCTACTGGTACCTAGCAGCTGTCCTCCCTAAATCCCTGAACCCCTAAACCCTAAATTACCAAGTCCCCTGGGCCTCTTAGCAGGCCTCGTGGCTTCTTTGGCACTTGAGACCGAGACGAAACCCATCTCCGGCTTGGTTCTCCTTGGCGGTGCCCGGCAGTTTCCTGAAGGCGCCTGAGACCCCGGTGTTGAGGCTGCTTTTGGTTTAGGGTTTAGGCTTTAGGGGTTTAGGGGTTTAGGGGTTAGGGCTTTAGTGCTTTCGGGCTTTGGGTTTGGGGCTTAGGGTTCAGGGGGTTGAGGGGTTTAGGGCTTTGAGATGGTTTCAGGGCGCTTGGGGTCTCGAGGCGTTGAGGCTGCCGTTGCCGGACGACGTTCAGGGTTTTTTAGGGCTTCTCTGGGCTTCTGGCGTTCAAGATTTCAGGTGCACTCCATGAGGAAGGCAGTTTCATCCGAGCGTTTGTCAGGCGAAGGCTTTCTTCCGATGGTGTGGGGTTTAGGGGTTTTGCCTCTCCGCCCTTGAACCCTGTAGTAAGGGCAGATTTGAGGGAAGCGCGAGAAGGGGAATCCCAAATACAAATACCCAATCCAAGTCATGGTGGTTTCGAGGCGTTTAGGGTTCTGGGGTTCAAGTGAACTCCATGAGAAAACCGGTTCCATCCGAGCGTTTATCAGGCAAAGGCTTTGTTCCGACGGTGTAGAGTTTAGGGGTTCAGGTGTGGAGGCTCTAGAAACCCTAACCACTAAACCTTAGGGTTTAGGGTGTAGATTTAGAGTTTGCTGAAGCCCCTGAGCTGCCAAACCGGTCCCTGCCACAGAGACCCCCAGCATAATGCTGCTTGGGTACCGGTTTAGGGTTTAGGGTACCGCAATTGATCCGAACTTAAAAATATACCATGTTAGATCACACTAGAGTCCTGTCACTGAGCGACACGCAGCGAGCATAGAATGATGAAGATCGCAGAGCCCCGCTAAAGACTGAATCCGAAACCCCAAACGCTAAACCCCTAAACCCTAAACCCCTACACTCTCCTCTCACAAAGCATAAGAGCGGAACGATCGCTTCCCAGATTCGGAATTGCTTGTACCGGTTTACGGGTTTAGAGTTTAAAGGCTTTAGGCATCATTAGCCTGTTTCAAGGTGAGGGTCCTGCAGTAACAAAATTACTGGAACCCCTCAAAAGGAACAACGTAGGTTTGAGGGAAGCGCAGGAAGGGGAATCCCAAATACCCTCGTGATGGTGGCATTTGAGATATCAGATTGCAGAAGCCAGATGTACCAATGTCCCACGCTGGCAAGCATATGCTGTGCTTCGAAACGGGCATTTGGCACTCCTCGTCATGCAGCTTTCCTGCCCCAAATGCTAAACACTAGACCTAGATGTATGTAGTTTCTCAGACGCTGCGCCAGGTCATCCCATTTTTCGACTGCCGGTGTTCCTTCTGAGCCAATTTCAGCACGGGATGACGGATGCTTTCTTGAAGATGGCTTTGGCTGACTCCTGCGACCCAGAGCTGCGGAAGCAGGAGGAAGATGCGTGCAATGCGAATCCGATGTACATGCGCCCTGGCAGGAGTTCTGGTGCATCAAGATCTGAATGTTATTGGCAATTCTTGCTCCTTTAAAACCCATGCCTGTGAAGTCTTGCCCTGCTCAGGTGTAAGGCCTACTACAGGCAGGTGCGCAATGCCACCGATGTGGAGCTGAACGCATGTGTGGACATGCCCGCCTTGGTGATTCGAGGCAAGAGCATAACTTAGCAGTAGAATTTATCCTTTTTGAGCTATTAATTATGATCCTTAAATCGCCTCCAAAGTTGAGTTAGCCGGTAGTTACCATCGGCTACTGGACAAGTAGAGCAACCCTAAACCCAACACCCTAAACCCGAAACCCTAAACCCTGAACCCAAGACCCTAAACCCGAAACCCGAAACCCTGAACCCAAGACCCTAAACCCGAAACCTTAAACCCTGAACCCAAGACCCTAAAACCCGAAACCGAGCAAAAAGGGAAGCGGGGTTTTGGAGGCCTCGGAGGAGGAGGAGAGTTGGGGACCTTCGACTCCCGGATTTCCGAAAGAATGTGTGGGTAGTTCTCTAAATTAGGGTCCCCTTTTTGGGGGTCCTTTTTTTTAAGGTACTATATTGGGGACCTAAAAAGGGACCCTAATTTGGAGAACTACTCATATCAGTATAGTCTTACTACTGTAGCATTAATTTTTGTTATCATTGTTATGACTATTCTTAGTCCTGTTTTTGATATTCTTGCATTGTAGTTTCTTCTTCTTATTCTTATTATTAGTAGGATGCTTAGAACTGCGAAAAAGTGTTTATAATTTAGAGGTGCGTAGTATGACTCTTCGACAAAGTACTGCTCTCAGTCGCTGGATTCACTGTGGGTAGCCCAGCCTTTGCATTTGTGCTTAAGCATTGAAACGAAGAACCTAATGATCGCTTGCCGTAAGATAGCTTCTGATCGCGACCTCACCGCAGGTGAGCAGGATGGTATCATCTCTGCTGAGGATGCCAAGGCCGAGGGATGATCTGAGGCTTCCGTAACATCCCTAAACCCTGGGCCCTAAGCCCTACACCCTGAACCCTAAACCCCTAAGCCCCTAAACCCTAAAACCCTAATCCCTAAACCCTAAACCCTAGGCCCTAAGCCCTAAGCCCTAAGCCCTACACCCAAAGCCCTAAACCCCTAAACCCTAAATGCTACTTCAACCCCAAAATTATAACCAAAGCACCCGAAAGAGCTCCCGCGCAGGATTTAGGGTTTCGTCTCTTCGGGGGTTTAGGTCTTCGGCCACGGCCTCATTCTGAGGACCTTACAAGGCCCAGGGTTCAGGGTTTGCGGTTTCGGGTTTGGGGTTTCGGGTTTTGGGTTTGGGGCTTAGGGTTTAGGGTTTGGGGTTTGGGGTTTAGGGTTTGCGGTTTGGGGTTTAGGGTTTGGGGTTTCGGGCTGAGGGTTTCGTATGTAGGGTGTGCGATTTGGCGTTTATGGGTACTACCAGAGTCTTGAAGCAGGTCCGAATGCGAGCCAGCGGTGCGAGCACAAGCAAACAGCACTCTTCCAATATACCTGAAATTGCAGCGGGATCCTTGCTATGATTTAAGGCATATTGCCGAAATCAGGGGTCTAGGTGTCTCCCAAAAAGGCCGAAACTCCCCTCAAGCTCTGCAGTAGCCCAACATATCGTATGCCTTCCAGTATCCCTTACAGTTTCTACCGTGTCCCCTTTCGTGCCCTGTGTTAGTATCGCTTACCGTATCCCAAAGAAAAATCCGTCAAGATTGAACCGTCAGAGGCTTGAGTATCCGTTATAGTATCCCTTAACAGTAGTCCTTATAGAGCAAGCCTTGCGGCAGCCCTTAAACCCTAAACCCTAAACCATAAGCCCTAAACTTGCCCTCAACCCACAGCCCCAAACCGAGTCTCTTGGTTCTCCAGGCGCTTGTCGCGACGCTCCCCAAGTCTAAAGGCGTGGAAGTGCAGGGAGCTGGCCACGCTCCGATGTTAGAGGTCCGGTGGTTTAGGGCTTCGGATGGCTACTAGAGGGGTCAAGAGGATTACCGATACTATTTTTGGGCTCCTTCTTATCCGTCTAAATCTAGAAAAAAAGCACACCCCAAAACCCTATTCTGATTATTCAGGCCCCTGTAATATTAGGGCCAGTTAGCTGGGCCATTTAGCGCATCGGGCTTCGTGTCGAGTCGAGGGAGACCTTGCCATGAAAAGTTTCGAGATCTTCATTGTTGGCAGACATCTACTTCAAGGATCAAGGGACTTAGTAAGCAGGGGTATAAGTAAGGTAGCTATACTTCTAGGTTCTTATAGTCCCAACTAGGGTACATAAAACCTACCTCACTAAGTCCCACGATCCTTGAAGTAGACTGCTGGAGGCTCTGCTGGCAGGTAAATCCAGCCTTGATCAGTCGCCTCACCGTGGGATGTAGACTCTGCCCTAAACCCTAAACCCACAACCCATGGTACCTTTATTGGCTGCCGTAAAGGAGTTCTTAAGCAGCCGAGCTGAATGCAATGATTTTCGAGCCCGGGGCAGAGGAGAGGAAAGGACACGATGGCTTTTACGTTTGGCTTATTCCCTAAACCTCAAGCCCTAAACCCGAAGCCCTAAACCCTAAATCCTTGAGTTCAAGTCAGACGCAAAGGCAAAAAAGTTGGGGTATAAGAGTCTGCAATAAGCCCTCGACCCTAAACCCTAAACCCTAAACTTTACCGGTGAATCGCCAAACTTATGCCCTGCATCAGCTGTGTGGCCGTTGCAGGCTCCAAGTGAGGTGGCAGATCCTCGGCAGATTTCAGAGGTTTAGGGCTTAAAGGGTTTAGGGTTTAGGGTTTAGGGGTTTAGGGGTTTAGGGGTTTAGCTTTTAGGTTTTAGGTTTTAGGGTGTCGTATCAGCCTTTGTGCGTGAAGACCGGCTTGACGTCTAGCTGATTCGGGACAGAGGGCTGTTCAGGTGCCGTGATCCGTTGGCTCGTGGACGTTTTCTCTTTTAAGCATCCCCTGCACTTTCTTGTGACGGGTCCGTCAAGCTAAATCCTAAATCCTAAGTGCGCTTTAAATAAGCCCCTAAATCCAAAACCCTAAACCCCATATGATTGCACCTCGATCCTCCCCTCCAAACCGGAAGAATGCTAGATCCTAAACCTGACAGGTTGAAGTTTGGTGATCACTGCTCTTGCTGCTCAGGAGCTTGTGGTGGAGTTTGTGAAGACGGTGATGGAGGGTTGACAGGATGCTTCGTTTTAAGGGTTACTGGCTCCTTGCTGGATACAATTTTACATTTTTGTTGTACTGAAATCCTAATAAGGACGAAAAATGATCATTTTTTAATATGGCCCCAACAGGGAACCAGGAGAGTTTAGGGTTTTGAGAGACAGACACCATGCCATGCTCGGCACAAGACCGGGCGGACGTCAGCAGTGACAGAGAGAGCCGGCCTTTCTGGCAGAAAAGGCGAAGCTTACACCCCCCCCCCCGTTTCAGGAACCCTAAACCCTAAACCCCTAAACCCTAAACCCCTAAACCTCTTAACCCCTTCTCCCTAAACCCCTAAACCCTAAACCCCATTTCAGGATTTTAGGGCTTCGGATTTAGATCTTGGAGCTTTCGGGTCATGGGATTTGAAGCCTGGCTGCAGGCAGAGAAGAAGCCCAGCCTGCTGCTCAGATCCTTGAGCTGTTGAGTAGGGCTTAGGGTTTAGAGCTTAGGGCTTAGGGTTTACAGTTTTGGATTCCGGGTTTAGGGTTCAGTGTTTAGGGTTTACGGGTTTAGGGTTTAGTGTTTAGGGTTTAGGGTTTTAGGGTTTAGGGTTTAGGATTTAGGATTTAGGGTTTAGAGTTTAGGGTCATCTTCCAGTCTTACGCAAGAGATCTGGCAGGGCCCTTTTAGATTCCTGTTTGAATCATTGCAGAACTTTCATAAAGGGTTTAAGGTTTAGGGTTTAGGGAGACCCCCGAAACCTCCAAAACCTAAGCCCGAAACCCCTAAACCCCTAACCTCTAAACCCCATAAACCCGTAAGCCTCAAACCCGAAAAACCACTGCATTCCTTAAGCTAAGGGGCTTTTGGAGTCTAACTCTCTGAGGCCCCCCAGCTCCAGAGTTGGCACAGCAGGGGCCGCCTGGGACGTTCTTCCACAAGGGCCCAGGGCCCGGGCGAGGGGGATTTTTTTTTTAGATGGAGGGGGGAGGGGGGGGGGAAGTGTAGAAACTACTTGGGGGTTTCTGGTTGAGTTTTGGGTTGAGGCTGTAGACTTGAGGGTTCAGGGTTTCATGCAGCAAGGATCGGATATGCTGACCAGTGTGATTCGTAGGGCTTCCCTTTATTACCGCAGCTATTAAATCCGCCAAAATCCTGCTCTGATTATGTGCCTGGCTATGAACCTACATATCTACCCACCTACCATCTATCTACCTATCTATCTATCTACCTATCTCGCTATGTTGCTATCACGTTATCTGGCCAGTTCTCTCTCTCTCTCTCTCTCTCTCCAGCTCTCTGTCTCTCTAGCCCGCTATCTAACTACCTAGCTATCTAGCTATCCAGCAATCTGTCTATCTCTCTCTCTATCTCCCTCTATCTATCTCTATCTATCTGTCTATCTATCCTTCTATCTAGCTTCCTAGGTAGCTAGCTAGCTAGCTAGCTATCTCGCTATCTCTCTATCGTGCCAGCTCTCTATCTCACTGTCTAGCTATAGGCTATAGATATCTTTCTAGCTGTCTAGCTTTCTGCCCCTCTATCCATTACCTAGCGATTAATTTGTTTATCCCGCTCTCCGTTTGTGTGTCTGTCTGTTTGTCTGTTTCCCCTTTTTATGTATCTATCACTACCTTTCTCTGTCTCTCTCTCTCTCTCTCTCTCTCTCTCTCTCGCTCTCTCTTCTCTGTCTACCTGCCTGCCTGCCTGCCTGCTGGCTGGCTGTCTGTCTGTCTTTCCACGCATCTGTCTATCCGTCTCTATCTCTCTCTGGCTTTTTATACACATGTAGGTGCCCTAGTCTCTTTGAGAGCCATAAGCTTGACAAGATTCCTAACAAGCCAAGCCAAACCAAGCTGAGCCGTCCAAAATGAGAGCATTTGCAGCCCTTGTCCCCTGACCCCCTAAACCCTTAAACTCCAGAAGCCCGGCCTGACAATGACAAAAGGCCCTCTGCAACGCTCAGTCATGGCCAACTATTATGAGAAGCCACGTCTAACAGACAACGTCATGCGATCAGGCCCAGCGGATGGCTCCCAAAAGAGTTGTATGCATGCGCATGTGTATGTGCATGTGTATGTGTGTGATGTGTATGTGTGTGATGTGTATGTGTGTGTGTGTATGTGTATCTGTATTTGTATCTGTACCTGTATCTGTATCTGTATCTGTATCTGTATCTGTGTGTGTGTGTATGTATGTATGTGTATGCGTAAGAATGTATGAATGTATGAATGTATGAATGCATGCATGTAATGTATGTATGCATGAATGTATGTATGCATGAATGTATGAATGCATGTATGTATGTATGTATGTATGTATCTAGGTATGTAGGTATGTAGGTATGTAGGTACGCATGTATGCATGTATGTATGCATGTATGTATGTATGTATGTATGTATGTATGTATGTATGTTTATGCAGACCTGCATGCATACTTACATACTTACATACATACACATGTACACACATGCGCACACGCACACATACATACATACACACACATACATACATGCATACAGACAGACATGCATAAGTACATACACACGTACATACATGCACACATACATCCATGCATGCATACATGTATGCACACGCACGCTTGTGTGTGCATGTGTATGTGTGCGTGTATACATACATACATACAAACATACAAACATACAAGCATACATACATACATACATACATACATACATACATACATACATACATACATACATACATACATACATACATATATATATGTTATATATATATATTTATGTATGTATGTATGTATGTATGTATGTATGTATGTATGTATGTATGTATGTATGTATACACGCACACATACACACGCACACACAAGCGTGCGTGTGCATACATGTATGCATGCATGTATGTACGTGTGTATGTATGTATACATGTCAGTGTATATACATATATGCATGCATGTATATGTAGATGTAGATGTATATGTATATGCAAAGGCATACGTGCTTGCGCGTGTGCATGTATATGTATACGTACACCAAACCCTGAACCCTAGGCCCTAATTCTCCTAAGCCCTAAACTTTAAACCCTAAACCCCTAAGCACTAAAACCTAAACCCTGAACCCTAAGCCCTAAACCCTGAACCTAAGCCTAAACCCTAAACCCTGAACCCTGCACCCTAAACCCTAAGCCCTGGAACCTTAAAGCCAGCGCTCTAGCCTAGGCACGGAGAACTTCAGGACTGCTCGGCCTGCACATTGGGGGGAATATAGGGTCTATTGTTTAGGATTTAGAGTTTAGGGTTCAGGGTTTAGGGTTTATTGTGTAGGGTTTAGGGCATCGGGTGTAGGATTTGCGGTTTTCGGAGTTTTTGTTTCAGGCGTTCTTGCGCTATAGGGGTTCAGGCTTCTGCGCAGGGATTTTCTGGTATGAGTCCAACGAGAGTGCAAAATGGGAGATGAGACCTTCTGGGTGTTGGCGGGGGGGGGGGGTTCGGATGGACTGCAGGGGCTGTAGATGAGATGTTGCATAGCCGGCTTCGGTAGGGTTAGGTGCTCTGATGACGGGTTTGGTGGCGCTTGAGGTGTATACTTGGAGGCCCAAGGGACTTAGTAAGTGGGTTATAAGTAGAGTTATAATTAGGGTAACTCCATGTAGGGTACTTATGACTCTACTTATAACCCACTTACTGAGTCCCCTGGGCCTCCAAGTAGGCTTTAGGGTGCAGGTCGCTCCTTAGGCAACGGTGGAGAGTGGGGCTTTCCAAGTTGGATCTTACCTTTGCTCAGACTCGAGCCAGAAAAGCATCAAGCATAATGTGTTAACTCCCCAAATCTTACAAAAAAAGGCTAGCATGATGTGTCACATGCAAGTGCTGGTCTCGGTGAGATGTGAGCTTCTTCCGAATGTGTGGTTTCTGCTACATGAACTTCGGTTTTGCATCAAGGAAAACAGCGGCGCAACCACTTGTACGAATTGCAAGCATGAGCGAAGATGCTTGGTGCTGCAGGTTCACGGAACTGACCACGTCTTCGGAGGGGGGGACTAAAGAGAGCCAGGTAGCATCCCGGCAAAGGGACAGTGGGTGTAAGCAACACCCACGTCAAAGATGCAGATTGCCTTAAAGTCTGAACTTCTGAACCCATAAACCGTTACACTAAAGTCATTAGGCCCTAAACCCTAAATCACAACCTCCTCTACCCCTCGGCTCAGTTGCCAGGCCAGCACCTCCGACGACCCCTCCTTCGTTGACGCCCCTTTTGGGCACAGTGCCCGGAACTGAGGAAGGGTTACTTAGAGCCGAAACTTGGGTGGAGTAAAGTATGGCCTTCATCGAAACCCTAAACCCTAAACCGCATAAAGGCCACAGATTAGGAGTGTGGTTCTGTCTGCTTCGCGTGACCCGAAGCCCTAAACCCTAAATTTTGCACGCCTCCGGCTCCAAGGCTGGCAAGCCAAGGTGTCATACTTTCGGTAAAAAAATTTGATGTGGAATGCTCTTGCTCGAACGACAAACCCCTGAAAACTCAACTGAGGCCTTAGGAAAGCTCAAACCTCTCACATAAAGCCCCAAAGATGAGAGTCTTTAACTTATAAGTCTCAAAACTATATAGAGCGCCATGAAGCTCTAAACCCTCAACCCCTGAACCCTAAACCCTAAACCCTAAACCTGAATCCTAAACCCTAAAGGCCCTAGATCCCTCAACCCTTAAAGCCTAAAGCCCTAAACCCTCAACCCCCTAAGTCCTAAACCATGGACCCTAGCTCCTTGACCAGGCCAACCTCCTACGGTGGATCGCTGCCGCGTCTTTTGGGGAGCGCCCCGGGGCACCGTGATGTTTTCTGGGAGTTTGAGGTTTCGGGCTTCTAAAGTTTGGGAGTTCTTTGAGGGTCTTTGTTGGGTTGTTTTCTCGGCTTTAGGGCTCATGGTGTAGGGTTCAACTATTCACGCGTCTTTAGGGCAGGTCGTGAGTATGGTGACTCGGTCTCTGGAGCAGTGGCGGTTCCAGGCTTCGAATGCGTCTTGGAAGGACCAGCAGACCTCGGCGGGTCTAGTGTTTAGGGTTTAGGGTCTAGGACCGGTTCATGGAACATGTCGTTGAAATCATGGGCGCGAAGGTCTTCCTGCAGCGCCCGCTCGCTGTCATTTTGGCTTCAAGCCCTCGTCGGGATGCATCAGCAGTTTACGATCTACAGGTCCTAACCTCTCGCTTACTAGCTTGATCTTCGATGCTACTAGTGTTTCCATTTTCATCTGTGTCACGCCCAAGTAACCCTAAACCGAAACCTTAAGCCCCAAACCGTCTGCTACCATGTCGACTGCTGCTGCGGCTTCTGTCGCTTCTGGCATGGCCTCCTCCCCAAGATTTCGGACATGGCCGATAACTGCCGTGAAGTCCCTAGAGCCGATGCTGGGTTCGTGTTAACAAGGTGGATTTGGTTGAGATACCATAATTTCTAGTAAACTTTAAACAATATGGTTTGTTTATGATGGTTAATGGTAACTCAGCAAGGTTCTAGTAAAGTTTAAGCAATGTGGTTTGCTTTTGATGGTAACTTAACTTAAGCCCCTTAACAAGACCAGGATGCTTCAGAAAATGGGCTTGAAGGTGTCGGCGGATGCCATTGATGGGACTTCCAAGAGTGAGGGAAGTGGAGGTCGCCACTTCTCAGATGCTCTTGTCTCAGTGGCTAGGCCTTTGGGACCTTCTATACTTTCCCTTATTCTTCGACCCAAAGAGGATCCTTAAGGACGAATGCTTTTGCAAAGTTCATGGGCCAAGCTAGGTGGGTGCGGCCGGTCGCGGTGGAACGGGCTCCTTCGTTTCTTCCAGCGGCCTGATTCTCACGAACTGGCATGTCGCTTATGATGCGGTGCGACAGGCGTCTCTGCAAGGCAGTCGCTAGGTAGGCCCTTGGGAGATGTTTTTGCTGTTGCCCAAGTTGGGCTCAAGAGGATCTTAGCTAGTTTACGAATGCTTTCAGAGGGTTGATTTAAAAGGCCCTAAACAAAAAGCCCAAGAAACCCTAAAACCCTCAACCCTAAAGCCCTGAACCCTGAACTTTGAAACCCTCAAGCCCTATAAACCCTAGGTCATGACTATGTTCGCGATGGTTTCGTGGCCAAGTCCTTGAAGGAAGAGCTGAAGGGCCCCAATTACGAAGTATGGATTACAAAGTCCTGCAAGGACAGGGTTTAGGGTTTAAAGGTTAGGACAGGGTTCTTGTAAAGGATTTTAGTTATAGTTTAAGTTACCATAATGAGGAAACCAAAGAAACCATACTCGTAACTAAATTTCTGTAGGCCGCTATGGTTTGTAGCTTAAGTTCAATCCCTTAACACGAACCCAGAGGACGTGTCCAAAGAGGTCACAGATGTGATTGGGTCGGAACAGGATCCGCTAAAGCGTGCCAATCGTGTCCGCGACGTGATGCAAGAGATTGCCCAAGCTGCGCAAGCGGAGAAGCCTTCAGGAGAAGCCAGCGATGGTGGAAAACGATGTGACGTGCAGGAAATGCTGCCTAATGAGTCTTATGTCTTGTTTACCTACGAAAGAATCAAGGATGTACGGATCGTGTACGTCCCGCCCAAGAGTTTGGGCAACTTTGGTGGGGACACAGACAACTTCGAATGGCCACGGCACACGGCCGATTTCACCCTGCTGAGAGCCTATGTGGGCCCCGATGGAAAGGCTGCTGAATATTCAGTTGACAACGTCCCCTACAAGCCCAAGACGTTTCTGAAAGTGCAGCAGCAAGGTGCAGCAGAGGGTGATTTCATTTTCTTGCTGGGGTTTCCAGGCTCGACGATGAGGTATGCGCCAACCTCCAGGCTCCGCTTTTCGGATGAGGTCGCCGTCCCCAACATGGTCTCGGACTTCGCACGGAAGCTCCAGTTGATCGCACAGTATGAAAAGGACTCGGAAGAAGCCGCCCTGAAGTTGGGCACTAGCAAAAAAGGTCTGGCGAATGAGTACAAGCGCAGCCAGGGCAAATTGGTCATGATGCGAAAGCTGGGCCTGATGCAGGAACGCTCGCAAGAAGAGGCGGCTCTCTGTGCGAAGGCGCCGGAAGCAAAGGAGGCTCTTGACCGCCTCAGCAAGATTTATGATGAGCTGCGCGCCATGGAGAGCGTCTCTACAGCATTGGAGGCCTGCCGCGGGATCTACTGTGGCAGTGCCCTACTCGCCGTGGGACATGCCCTACATGAGTATCTCACCATCGAGTGCCCCAAGCCAGACGGAGAGCGAGAGTCGTCGTATCGACAACGCAACCTCCCGTTTCTGGGCTCTTGTTAGGGGATTTCATTTGAGTTACCATATCCGGAACCATATTATTTACTCTAAATCCCCATTAAGGTAACTTAAAACGAATCCACCATGATAAACGAACCATATAATTTACTCTGGATCCCCAAGATGGTAACTCAAACAAAAATCCCTCAGAACAAGAACCCAGGTTTCTTGCACAGCGCCTGGCGAAGCGCGTCGGGGAGATCCATCAGCCACATGAGGCTTTGGGGCTTTGATGCCTTTCTATTTCAGGGGCCGTGTTCTTAAAGCTGAAAGACTAGGAAAAGAAAAGGACATGTCCCTGATTTTAAAGGGGTAGTTACGGGTAGTTATACTGGGTAACCTCGAAAGGCGGCTCTCATCAAAGACGCCCTGGATATGCTTGAGAAGACCCCCGACTTGAAGAGCGCTTTCGCAGCGATTCTGAAGAGCTTTGGCGGCGAGTCTTATCTCTCGAAGATGGAGTCTACCATAGGAAGCTCAGAACTGAAAGCATTGTCCGATCCTGAGCTCATGAAGTCGATCTTCGCCGAAGATGGCGCTGCCAAAGATCGGAAAGCTTTGCTTGAAGACCCTTAGTAGCTCAGCGAGCACGCTTTACACTGTTGGGGCTAATATTATCCCCTATAGAACTGAAACTGTGCACTTTTGGGGCGTATGAACTCAGGAACTAAGGACCCATTTGTCAAGTGTGCCGGCTCCTTGTGGGAGGCCTATGCAAGCAACCGCGATCGCTCCAAGGCCTTGCTGAGTGAGCGAGACGCATTGTTTGCCAAGTTGCTCGAGCTCCAACGCAAGCACAGCGACGGTGAGGTCATGTATCCGGATTGCAATGGATCCTTGCGAATTTCGGCAGGCTTCGTTGAAGGGTATGAAGCTGCCGACGCGGTCGTCTGCAAGCCGCAAACCACCTTGGCTGGTTTATTTGACAAGGCCGTGGAGGCAAAGCTGAGCAAGGATGAAGGACGACTGGCCGAGTTCGGGTGTCCAGATCGACTTTACGATATGCTGTCGTCCCCAAGCTCGAACTGTCAGAAGGTCCCTGTTTGCCTACTTTATTCGACGGATACAGTCGGTGGCAACTCAGGTAGCCCGGTCATGAATGCAAACGGAGAGCTTGTGGGAATCAATTTTGATCGACAGCGTCAAGGCCTCATGAATGAGTTTAAGTGGAGCAAAGACTACTCTCGAAGCATGGGTGTGGATGTCCGGTACATGCTATGGCTTATGGGAGATTATGATGGAGCCAAGAATCTCGTGCAGGAGATGTTGGAAGGCTAAGCTCCGTAGGCCGACCTTGCCAGCGAGGGGTGAGGATGTCCGATGCATGCGGACGGAAGGAAAACGACCGACGGCTTCTGTGTCACCATCATCAGCATCACCATCATCCTCATCATCATGAGGATGATTATCATCATCACCTCCATTATCATCAGCAGCAGCATCAACATCGTCTGCTTCTGTATCATCCGGTATCATATCCATCGTCATCGTCTTCGTCATCACAAGCAGCATCAAGAGCCTTGCTGCCGATTCATGCAACTGCCTTTCTTCGCCTGCAGCACTTGGAGCTCACCGATGTCGCACTCGGCACCCAGCAACGCAAGACCTGCATAGCCGCATAGCATTACAGGTCGTGACCTGACCATGCCCCGCACACGCACCTTCAGTACTTGCCCCTGTCGTCCTGCGCAAGAGTACGCGCATCATGGCTTCCTTCGTGATTGCCGGGAAGGCAGGCGCTGGATAGCACAGCAGAAAGTGAAGGTGCTGAAATGAGCTTCTTTAATCGTTTCTGACTCGTGACCCGCGCTAAACCTGAAATCCTCCCTTTCGTCCTAGCAGTCCTACTACAGAGTCCTACATAATTAGTGACATTATTCCCTTATCGTCACGTAGCCCCGAACTGCTACAGCGTACATACCCCAAAACCTAGTCTAATCATAAAGGCCCCTTAATTCGGCCTGTGAGGGGTTGTTTTTCGGCTAGAGAGGGCATTGGTCAATTTTTCAGGCCGATGACCCTTCTTTCGCGCGCGCCGAGTACGCTGCCGGACAGGTGCAGGCAGGACAGTTTCGATGGTGGGCATGGCACACCTTCCAGCTTTTTCGGAAAGGTCGAGGAGTTGCAGCAATTGTAGGTCCTGCCAGATGGCTGTGCATTCCTTCCAGCTTCATACACATCTTGAACGCGCTCATGGTGTTCTGCAGACATGATGTAGATACTCGCATGGAAAGTCTGCCACTGGTGCCACTCCATTCTCCAGCGGCCCAGGCGCTCGTGCCGAACATCTACGTGAAGCTGGAGATGAAACATCCAGACCACTGGAAGAGCTTCATTAACACCGTCTGCAGAACGTGCCCTCCTGGGTGACTAGCTTGCAGCACCGTTCACCAGGGGGGGCATGGGATATTGGCCCTTCATTTCAAAAAAACTCATGAGTCCGCTTGAACTCTCTTTCCAATCGGCTAAGAGCCTGAGCCATTTCTGCTGAAGTGAGGGTAGGATTTCCCCGACACTTCCTGGAGGCCAGGCTCTGTAAAGTTATGTAGAACACTCTCATAGAATCAGTCGGGGTCGCGCACGGCACCCGAGGGGCATGAAGAACATGGACTTGGATGTCACGAGTTAGGCAGTTAGACTATTCTCAATTTGGCCTGGTTCAGGCAAGACCTTCCACCTCCCGTGAGCCCTTGAACTTCATTGACTCCTAAGCCGAATAAACCCTATGCCAACAGGTACGACTTCGCCAGCTACGCCGACGATTTTGGTGGGCCTCTAGCAGGGGCCTTAGAAGGCCTTGAAATTATCGCGGTTTCTGCGTGGTTGTGTTCTTCCGTTTGGTGGGAAAAAGTATAGCGTTTTGAATGAGGTCGCCCACCTCAGCCCGCTCGCTGCGGCAGTAAATTGTGGCAGAACTCAGGAACTGTCTATCTCTCTATCTATCTGTCTGTCTGTCTATCTATCTAGCTCGCTAGAAGGCTAGCTATCCTTCGAGCTCTCTATCTGCCTATCTAGCTCGCCAGCTAGCTAGCTAGCTCTAGATGTATACATATATGTAGGCCCGTAGGCACAACAAATCTGAAAAGCATCTCTGCTACATCGAATTATCTAGGAGCTAGACCGGAAGAGTCTTGTTAAACCCTAAACCCTAAAACCGTGCTCCTATGCGAAGCCTCCCTGCTTGAACCCTGAAGTCGACACCTTAAACGCTGAACCCTCAGCCCAAAATCCTAAACACCGTTGTCGAAACCCAAGGGTTTAGGGGTCTAGGGTTTAGGGTTTAGGCTTTAGGGCGGCCAAGGGAACGAAAGCTCCCGAAATCTAGGAACAAACACGAGCATTTGCAGGCTGGCTATCGGGACGATAAGCGTTTCCCGAAGCATTGCTAGAAGGGTTTCTAGGTTTGAAGATCGGCAATTATGATGTTTGTTTTGCCAGGGTTTCGCGACTTCACAATTATTAATTGCTACTACTTCTGCAACTGCCCCTTTTAACCAGCATAGCAAAGAGCTATGTCAGCTATGTTCGCTATGTCAGCTATGTTCGGAAAGACAGCATAGGCACACCACCGGCGCCCAGAGAGCATAAACAAGGCTAGGCCGGCAAAAGGAAGGGCAGAACGAGGGAAACACCAGCTTAAAGAGGCACGGGTCCCGCATACAGTAGCAGCATCAAAATAAAACAAGTGGGGGGGGCAGCTTGAAAAGAATCGCTGTCCTATTCGTACGTTTCATTGCTACCATGTAACGATTACTCTTTTGGTGGTTATTCTGATTATTGTGGTCAATAATTATGAATTAGATGTCGCAGTGGCAATAGTACTCGTTTTCGTAGTAATCAGAATGATCGCCGATCTCGCGAACCCAACAATCCAATCTTGAACTGCTCAAGTACACAAGAACTAACCGCTACTAACCCCGGACCAGAATCCGCAAAACCTGAACCCACAGCTCCAGACCCCAAACCTGTTTTCGAAACACCAGAAACAAGACGAAACCCCATTACCCGGAGCTCTCGTTCATGATGCAGGGGCCTTCATAATCAGAGTAGGCTTTTGGTATGCAGTATACCATAAGAGAAAGTACTGAGAAGCGCTGAAAAATAGTGTCTGACTTCGACCTAAACCCTAAACCCGAAACTCCAAGACGTTGATACTGAACCCAGATCTGCCCACGGTTTGCCCAGGTGTGGACCCTTGAGGCTGGTTCGTAGACGTCAAGGGTTCAGGGTTTAGGGTCGAGTTACAGAGATGTGGAAGACTGTTTTAGCTTTGTTTACCGTTTGGAGGCTAGAGGATGTGGGGTTGCGGGTGTAGGACCTATTGAGGGTTTGGTACCTGGGTTCAAGGGCCCGGCGATGAGATTCTGAATGATTTGGTTCAGGGGTTTACATTGTTCACATGGAGTCAGGCGGAATGAGCTTGCATTGGGGTTTGAGGTTTTGGATGTGGGCTTCGCAACTCCTCCTACGGCTAGATTGGTGCTACTACTGCTGCTACTACTAC